TCCTTCAACATGCGTCTGTTTTTTTCACAAACAGCTCTCAGTAAGAGTAGTAATTAGTAGTAGTAGTAGTAGTAGTACTAGTAGTAGTAGTAGTAGTAGTGGCAGTCAGCCTGCATCACACTCGTTTACTACACCTTTCATATAGGCTTCGTTTGCTTCAGAGTCTTCCGAAACAGCTAAATGCTGGATCCAGTTTTCTGAAACAGCTAAAATGGTGGATCCTTCGGGGGGGGTAGCATATATATATATATATTTATTTATTTATTTATTTATATTTATTTATTTATATGAATGTATATGATACCTGATACCTTTCGTGTGTATACGTATAGTTCTAGACACGCGCACACACACACACTGCATTTCGAAGATTCTTTCAAGGGCATTCTACGTAAGTTCCCTTCATTGTCCGGCATCGTCGAAGCTTCTAGGCTTTATGGTTTTATCGTTTCCGGTTGGCAGCTTTCTGTGTTTTGGGGTTAGGGCTTGGGGCCAGGGACTGACACCGATACTTGAGCAGACCAGACCAGTGACGTCAATGGTACGAACTTGGCATTCGAAGTTCTATGCTATGGGCTTCATGGCAAGGCTCATTGCGCAGTGGAATCTGAACAGCATGGGTGATTCAATGAGACCAACGGCAAGAGCTCTGTCCGTAAGCCACGGACTGCTCGAAACAGCGCCAGTGATGCTGCAAGTTGCAGCCTGAGGCCCCTTGATCTTTCAAGATTTGCGCCGCAGAGTTTTTTTTTGGCTCGTGGCCATGACTTCGCCCCGCATGACCCGATTGCTGAGCAAAGCTAGACTGCTATCTTGCATTAAGGGTAGGGTACGACCACGATCACGCCTGGCGCCGTTTTGGCCACAATCGCAGAGATGCGAACGTAGAACGTATCAATCCCTAGAACGGCCATGAGCCATGGCAGTGCAGCCCAAAGATCTTGGCTGGCTCTGTCCACGGAGTGGATTTAGAGGGCTTGGCGTGTCAAGTGCTACACCTGAGAGTAGGTTTACGGCGTGAGGGTTGAGTGGAGACTTAGCTAGAATTTCGGACTTATGGCTCCGGGGTTTCTTCAGGCTTCACGCTTAGGAAGTCTTAGTCTAGAATCGCGAGCCTTATACTTGCTCAGTTCCAGCCTTCAATCTCTAGGCCTCTAAGACTCTAGGCCATTCAGTTTCAGCTTGCAGGTCAGGGGCCGGGACTCTCTACTGTTTTGATGTGACGGGATGCTGCGAATCTGGAGCATCTCTGGGCACGAAATGGCACATGTGCCACTGGCAGAGGTCAGCACGGTGCGAAACCTGAAGGAGCGTTTGGCTCAGCTTCATGGGGTGCCGCGATTCCGGCAGCGGCTCCTTGACGACGGCGAAAGCTTGCGGGACACAGCCACATTGCACCCTACAGACTTGCAGTTGGTTTTCCTAAACTACTCTGAGGCTTCCTTGGAGCAGGCCGCAGAACTCACAGCTGCAGTCGGGCACGGAAGTGTTTCCGAGGTTGAGGAGATTTTGCAACGTCCCCAGGATCCGAATCAAGCAGATGCGGATGGCAACACCCCTCTGATCGTAGCGGAGAATGCGGAGATTGCGAGTCTTTTGCTGGAGGCTGGGGCAGACAAGGATCAATCGAGTTGCGACAGCAATCGCAGAACGGCTCTTGGCCAAGCAGTGCAAGGACTGTCATGGATAAACTCCTCGACACCCAAGCCAAAACAGCAAGCCCTAGCCGCCCTAGCCCTAACCACAAAGACTCTGCCCAAACTCCGCGTTCAGGCTTCAGGCTTACGGAGTGTAGGGTGAATTCTGAACCTGAAGGAGGACACCTGGAGGTTGTGAACTTGCTACTGGAAGCTGGGGCAGACAAGGATCTGGCGAATAGCCATGGCACCACGCCCCTCATGCTTGCAGCAGCCTATGGCCACGTGGACATTACTGGCTCGCTACTGGAAGCTGAGGTTGGCATAGACTTGACCGACGTCCGCGGGATAACAGCTTTGATGATCGCAGCGATCACAGGCAATGTGGAAATTGGCAGCCTGCTACTAACTGCCGGAGTCAAGAAAGACATTGCCTGCCGCGGTGGTGGCACAGCATTGATGTTTGCGGCAAGGTATGGCAAAGTCGATTTCGTCCGCTTGCTGCTGCAAGCTGGTGCAGTAAGGGACATGCCGAACAATCAGGGGAAGACGGCTTCGGTTCTCGCAGCTGAGCATGGGCATGTGGAAGCTGCAAGCTTGCTGTCAGCTTAGGACAACCGAAGCAGCAGAAGCATGGCTTCTGGAAGCCCTTCATACCTGTTGCCATCATGGAAGTCTGATTTTAAATCCCACCGGCTCTAGCTGGCGCTTTGTGAAACCAGGTTGATTGCTGGCATCATCATGTCATCTCCTTGTTGCAACTGTCGGTCTCAATGCCAGCTCAGTCTAAGACCCGAAGCCTCAGACTCTTGAACCATAACATCCAGAACAGTTGTGATCGTACTATATATCACCGTATACTTGGAGGAATTTCACCCGGGCTGGTACCAAAAACGAAAAAGACTCCCGACAAGATACTCTATCCTTCATCTTTTGTGTAGGTGTCGTAGCTGCCTCCTTTCTTGCTCTTGGTCTTCCTGGATTTGTCGCAGAAACTGCATGTATCTTTCCTCAGCCAGAAGTGGCTTCTTACGCAGAAAACCTGCGGGGCAAAGAGTCTGCAGAAAATCACGAGAACTGTTCCGGTCTACACACTATAGGGTCCATCATGTACTGTAGGGTGTCGAGTCATGGGGCTTACTACTTCGAGGCTCGGGCTAGCGTGGCCTGAAATTGGGTGCATTTCCTCACGCATGTTCCGAGTCTCGGCAGTCGCTACCCTTTCATCTCTGTTGTCTGACCCAAACAGGGAATCTTCATAGCAGATTCCTTCACCCTGTACGAAGGACAGGTTTAATAAGGTACCCCGACTGACAAGAAGGTGGTGTTCAGGCGGTTGGTACTTAGTCGCCTGTGCATGTCGGGAACCTCAGCCGCAGTCGATGCGCCCTCAAAGGTCTGCGAATCTCAAATGCCTTGAGACCTGAAGCATGTCACATGATTTAATCTAGGGCCTCAATAGCCAATTTCGCAAACAATATTGTAGTATAGTCTTTATTGGATTACAGCTGTCTACTTCCTGCCTGACGGTCTCTTGTGTGGAGATGTAGACCGAAGTCCGCGGTCTGAGCCTTGAAGCTGACCTCCTACGGTTTGAACCCTGCAGCCCAAGACCCTCAGCTCATCGGCATGCATCGCCATCCCTGCATCTCTTCGAACAAAAGGTCGACGTCGGAGCAGAGGGTTGTGAGATGGCGTGCCGGAGTGGTGATCACACAAGTGGAGGCATTTGGTGCGTTGTACAGTTGGTCCTTCGGGGGTTTGGGATTGGAGGTTTATTATGAGGTTCAGCACTCAGGTTTATCGGCTTCGGGGTTAATGGCTGGGTGTCTTTCTCACGGCATGGCCAGAGGACTTTGGATTTGTGCGTCAGGGTATTCAGCCGAGAATATGCGCTCCAGAGCGCACGCGTCTAATTCCTGGGTTCACTTGTTTGGTTTCTGAATCTCAGTCATCGCCTTGAAGTGCAGTTTCAGGGTGCTGGGCCTAGGCAGTCCAAACGCACAACTTTTGACACGAGAACCATCAGAAGATATATATATATATATAGATAGCTATACATGCACAGCTACATGCATACACTCATATTTACATAGACACGTACGCATACATATATATATATATATGTATGTATGTATGCATGCATGCATGCATGCATGTATGCATGTGTGTGTATGTATGTATGTATGTATGTATGTATGTATGTATGTATCTATGTATCTATGTATGTATGTAGGTATGTATGTATGTATGTATGTATGTATGTGTATGTATGTATACACATGTACATATGT